ATATATATTCATAAGAGTGAACTTTTCTCAAATTTAATCTACAAACTTTAGCAAGTAGAGTTACAATATCAAATATATACAAAACTTTACACATATTACTTTTTAAGAAGTCTTACCTCCCCAAATTCAGGCTGTATGGTACAGGAATGAATCCCAACTGTGTGGAACACTTTTTTGACTTTCACAGCAATGACATCAAACTCCTCTACATTAACAGTTTGCATTGGGATGTGTACAGATGCAATCAGTTTGTTGCCGCTTAGCTGCCATACATGGAACTCGTGTATTTCTGTTACTCCTTCAATCTAAAAAACAGTCCAAAGTCATCTTCATTCAGGGAGTGTTGTGCAGACATTTTGGCATAAACATTTCAGCACATTTTCAGGTCTGGATGTACATTTATCCTGTATTCAAAGCATTCTGGGACCAAGCAGGACAGACGACTGTTCACAGTTACTTGTAATGAGGTATGCCTACATTCACTCCTGTCTTGTGATAGGTTACTTGTAAAGGATTTGTCTTGTGATAAGTTACTTGTAAAGGATTGTCTTGTGATAAGTTACTTGTAAAGGATTTGTCTAGTGATAAGTTACTTGTAAAGGATTTGATTTGTGATAAGTTACTTGTAAAGGATTTGTCTTGTGATAAGTTACTTGTAAAGGATTTGATTTGTGATAAGTTACTTGTAAAGGATTTGTCTTGTGATAAGTTACTTGTAAAGGATTTGTCTTGTGATAAGTTACTTGTAAAGGATTTGTCTAGTGATAAGTTACTTGTAAAGGATTTGTCTTGTGATAGGTTACTTGTAAAGGATTTGACTTGTGACAAGTTACTTGTAAAGGATTTGTCTTGTGATAAGTTACCTGTAAAGGATTTGTCTTGTGATAGGTTACTTGTAAAGGATTTGTCTTGTGATAAGTTACTTGTAAAGGATTTGTCTTGTGATAAGTTACTTGTAAAGGATTTGTCTAGTGATAAGTTACTTGTAAAGGATTTGTCTTGTGATAAGTTACTTGTTAAGGATTTGACTTGTGATAAGTTACTTGTAAAGGATTTGATTTGCATCTGCAGTGTTTGACCTTTTGTAATCTCAATTGCTCTCACGTAATTATAAACAAGCAGTTGTACTCTCTAGTCCTCTGATCAGTTGCTTTAACACTGTAAAGCTGCTGAGGGACTGGCGTGGTCAAGCCCCCTAATTATCAGTTATATGGCCTCTCACTGTTCAAGAAACTCTAATTTGACAAGACAAGGATATCAAACATGACTATTGATTGATATCAGGAGGTTTCTGCCCCCAAAGATGGATTTTCTGTTTTGTTGATATTCGATAAAATATCAGAAGTTTCCCAATGAAAATGGGAGAGTTGACATATACACACCAAAAAGTAGGGTAGGTAGATATATAGGGCAAGTGGAAACAAAGAATTTATTTTCTTTGGTCTTAACAAAAAGAAGAAGAAAAGGGACAATAGTTGTAATATGTTGCACAATCTGGCTAAATTACCTTTTTTAATTTGTTCTCAATTTCCTCCAGTTGTATATGATCAGGCACTGCTTGTAAAAGTATATACCCGGACTCTTTCACTGAAACATTAAAAAAGAGTGTGAGCTTTACCATGGCACAATTATTTCTAGGCATGGATACAGGATGACTTCAAAATAGGTATAGTGATTGGCTAATTGCTTACTGCAGGCTAAAGCTGAGACAGTCAAGACACTTCTCATTTCAACTCATAATCAGGCAATTTCTTTTTATTATTATCGTGGGAATTTTGTATCCATGGTTGTACTGATGGAGGATTTAGAAAGTTTTTCATACTGGAACAAATTACCATAAAGCTTTCTACTAATACTGATTTTTTTCCTACAAACCTACACCATATTGAGTTAATTGTATACTTACATAATGGTACAGTTGTGCAGAGGATGATAATAACCATGACAACACTGAAAAGATTAAGGAGAAAATTTGTTTTAGACATTCAAAAATTCAAAGATAATACAATGTACAAATAGTTATACACTAATGGGTCATGTCCCTTTGATATATTTTAATTTCACAAAACATGTCTGCTGATTATGTTACTTTAAGGATCCCCGTCCCAGGCAGAGCAAAACACTAAAGATTTCCACTGTTGTTTTTCAGTGTTCGAGTCACTTGCCACTGATTACCATTTCGACAATGTTGTTATCTTCCCTTCAATAGACTTCGTTTGAATAACGTTTCGACAACAGAGTTGTGTCCCTTACGTTGAAAATCTCCAATCGCGAGAGTGTGGGAAAAGCTGTCATAGCAATGTAAACAATGTCGTCGTGGCAGTCATCTCATGGCCGACACAAAAACGGTCGCTTTAAATGTAAACTAAACGCATTAACTGACAATAATAACAAACACAATGTCAAATATCAACTGCTAGACCACGACAATGCGACGAAACAAAGTGACACTCGTTCACACAATGCTGACTTCTGTGGCCCATACTACTGACAATTTGACTGATGAGCCGACACCGACGTCTGATGAAGATCCCTACAGTACTAGTGATCACGAATATGCCAGTAACTTTTTAACCTTGTCGCAGGGTAGACGAGTGGTTGAACTCGCGGTGTTATCTGAATACCTGGACCAGAAAGGTTGTAAGGAATGCGGTACTAGGCTACGGTTGAAGGAATGCGGTACTAGGCTACGGTTGTGCAATACCCAACAGGAAAGACACTTTGGCCTGAGAAGTATTTTATACATACAAGTTAGTGTATAGATTATATTCTATATTTGTTATTATATGCTCAATAGACCTTTATTTCAAGTTCCTTTTTTATATTACATACAACAGTGTTATTTTTACAATGTGATGTTTTTATACCACAATATTGTATGTTGTTATTTGTACATGATGTAAAAGTTTACTATTATTGTATGGTGTGATATTTGTTATACCACAATATATATAGTATGTTGTTATCTGTATATAATGACAAAGTTTATTATTGCTATACAGTGGTATGTTGTTATTTGTACATAATGCAAAAGTTTATTATACCTATATAGTTCGAAAAAAATCCATATCACAATATGGTATGTTGTTATAATTATCTGTTCATAATGTGACAGTTTATTATTGTTTTGTTCATAATGTGACAGTTTATTATTGTTTTGTTCAGAATGTGACAGTTTATTATTGTTGTAGTGCATGATTTTTTTTTATATCACAACATGGTATGGTCTTTGTACAGTATGTAGAAATTTATTATTGTTGTGTAAAGTATGTGGAACTTTGCTGTTGTTGTTCATTGTGACATTTTTGCTATGACACAGTAAAGTACATTGTTTGTTATAATGTTAATATCCATACACAATGTGCAATTTGTTTTATATTGGTTATTACATTTGAAGTAATTTTATTGGTTGGTAATTCCTACTGTATTATATTTGTATACAAAAAGTGCTATATTGTATTATGACTTTTTGGGATTTAGAATTATTATTGGTACAAATGTAAGAGTTGTCTCTCTTTTTTGTTTAGTTTTAATGTATCTTTATAATAATTAAGTCTGCAAGATGTTTATTTTTGTCACCTTAGTTTTCTTTTTGTTGTCATAAACGTGTTGCATTGGCACTCAGAATTTTATTGATTCATGTAATGGGCATTTTGTTTGTTTTTGTATTACTGTTAGAAAATTACTCATTTTTTGTGTGTTTTATTCATCAATATTGACATTGTTATTATTTTTTATGTGTTATATTTCTAATAAACCATTGTTGAATCAAATAATATATATTTTGTTTCATTTTGGTCAATCAAAATTTCATAATTTCCCAAAACATCTGAAGAAACTTCCGCAAGGTATGGTTTATTGTTCAGAAATGATTTGCCTATGCAATAGTGATGCCGTAGGGGAAAAAAAACAATGCCTCATTACATTTTTAGGCGGAGGGATGGGGATCCTTAAAGAACAAGTCAGGGTACGACCATCACATGAATAAAATAATACTTTACCTCATAGCAGGATCCACATAATACTTCCAGTCGTCTTCTACAAACCAGATGACCAGTCCAGACACGACAACAACCACCGACCCCAGGGCGTCTCCCAACACATGTAGAAACACCCCCCTCATGTTCAGCTGTGCACTCGATGGACCGTCTATATGGATACAAAAGTTGTGATCAATACAGATTATCAGAGAATAAATACCAGGTAGCTAGGTGTACTGTATACCAGTTAGTTTTTCGCCCTTTGACAGTAAAATACAATATGCTGATATAAATAACAATGAACAAATTATTTCAATTATTACTTTATCAGTTTATATTTATATTTTTCCATGTTTCCACATTAATCTATGTCTGATATAAATAGGGCATCTCACTTTTGGTTCAGACAACAGAAAACG